ACCCTACGCACATTCTGTCCAGCAAGACATCTGGACTTCACCTCCTCTCAGATTCCGGACTACATCCACCACCTCACATATCTCAGTCCTGTTTCCGCCCTGCCTTCCGGATCCCCAGATCTCCGGACCTCCGGATATTAACTGTACTATCTCCGGACCTATTCCCACCCTCTGTCTGAGATCCTGCGCCTATCCCCATTTAGGCATCTCTGTCTTTCCGGTTCTCGGTTATCTCTGTTTCTGTCTTGCTGATTGATCCTTGTACTAGTTTCATCTCTGAGTTCATTTACATATGTTCTGTTTTACTTACCAATGTGTTTCTGCATGCTCATACATAGCCTTACTCCTTTGCTTACTGATCCTCTCAGGTAGCCTTTAGTATATAACCCCTGTACAACTACAGTAGAGTCCTCAGTCTGAATATCATCTTAGATCCTGTTCTACTTGCCAATCGTCTTCCAGACTTCAGTTCATCTGAGTCTCGTCCTTTTCCATAAGGCCTAGGGATGGACTCCCTAGGCCGGAATTCTGGACCTCCGGATTTGTCCCCTATGTCTCTGTCCCAAGTCTAGGGATTGCTTCCCTAGGCCAGAGTCTTGCCTTTCTGGCACTTACCCTCTTTCCGGACTTAGGTCCACTTCCTGTCCCTCCGACTCTACCTTAGGGTAGTCTACCTCTGTTTGCTTCTACATCAGATGAAGTCCGATGTAGCCCCTATTCCTTCCAGACCTCCGGACCTCCTGTCCTCCGTACCTTCAGACATTCCGCCCTCTGTACCTTCCGCCCTCTGTACCTTCCACCCTCCATACCTTCCGCCCTCTGTACCTTCCGCCCTCCGTACCTTCAGACATTCCACCCTCCATACCTCCATGTCCATCCTCCATACCTCTGAACCTCTGGACATCCTATCCTTCCATCCTGTTTTCCTGTAGAAGTATTACATTGCAGCGGGAACTCTCCTGAGCATTTCCTGCATTCCTCCGGAACTCTCCCGTGCTCCTCCAGATGTTTCCCGCACTCCTCCGGAAGTCCTCCAGACTTTGTCAGACCATCATCAGACTTCCTCTGAAATGAAGGGCACATACTCAGGTAAGGGGCACAGCGTACGAGCTGAGGCCAAGCCCCTCTGAGTCAGTCTCTTTCTCCTTCGAGCATGGTTCTTAACAAGAAGGCAGACAGGAAAGACGTTCGAGACAGAATGAGCGCAAGATGTAGAATGTTGTAGCATCCAACCATCCAGTACCTGCAATGCCGATTTCGATGGAGATGATGAGACAGACAAGAGGTCAGACAAAGGGGAAGACAAAGGAAAAGACGTTCGAGACAGAATGAGCGCAAGACATAGAACGTTGTAGCATCCAACCGTCCAGTACCTGCAATGCCAATTTCAATGGAGATGATGAGACAGACGAGAAGGTAGACAGGAAAGACATTCAAGATGGAATGAGCGCAAGATGCAGAATGGTGAGAAGCAGCAATCTTTGCATGGTACATTGGTACCCTAGGTACATTGTAAGCATCATAGCATAATCAAATCTCTACTGACCCCTCCTTTTGAATGGGCTTGATAGGTTCATCAGCGAAGTCCTCGAAATATGGGTGATCAGAATACTTGGGATGTCCAGAGGGGCCGCATCTTTGAAGGCGTGGTGGCTTGGGCCCCTCAGATGCGGTACTTTCACCTTCATCAGTAAGCCACCTAATGGATCCCCCACCCTCAGGGTACCACTCTTGATGCAAATTCTTGTGTTTGGGCATCCGAACATGCTGACGGTGCGTGGATCCGCTCATCTGCATCATCTCAATGCAAAGCTCGGCCCAATCATGTTTGCGTTCAATGTCGTACATGTGAGCATGCAAATCGAAGAGTTGGCCATGCAGGGTTTCCGTAGTAGCTTGGGAATCACGGAGCTGCTGACTTTGGGTAAGTAGTTGCATGGTGGCAAGGCTGCGATTGGCACAATCTTTGTCATGGTTGCATTGGGTGGCTGGGTCAAATGCAGTGGAAAGTCAAGTGAGTAAATCCGTAGCTGCCACTCCTCGAGTATTGTGACATGGAGCTGGGGCATCTGTACGAGGAGTGGAGTGGGCAATTGCTGTATGCTGAATTGGGGGGGACGTATGCTCATCCTGGTTCTGGTCAGAGACAACAGAGTGACTGTCATCATCTTCCATGGCATCATAATCTGTGTCATGCAGGTCATGGGTTCCTGCATGCTTGTTAATGAGTTGTTTGATGCGATGGGCATGTGTGACTTCTGGAGGGCACACACCATCTCCAGTTGGCTTCGTAGTCTTGACCAACTGTAGTTCTACTTGTGAGCAATGTCACAGTCATGAGACAAGTTGAATCTTACCTGTTTGAACTTTGTTTCGAGTGAAGTGAGTTTGCGTTCAGGCCGGTGGTTCACCTTGGCCCATTGGCCGAACTTAACTTGAACAGTCTGCCACCCATGTTGACCAAGAGGGAGCTCATCATGGACTATGTCGAGGAGACTTTTAATGTCCAAGGCAGTATAATTGTTGGACCCCTGAGGGCGGCCTCGCCTCACTCGTGCTTCTGCTTCATCATCCTCGTCTCTGTCCTCTTGAGAATGCTTCTTTGGGTTAGCATATCCAGCATTCTCCTTCTCCTTGCCTTTGTCCCTTGGGGCTTTGGCCTTGCGACGAGCGCCTGCTGTTTTGGTGGCTGGAGTATAGCTGCAGGCCTCCACAATACTGGCAGGGTAAATCAAGTCCATATCATCAGAGTGAGGTAGGGGGAGGAGTGCAGGGTTAGCTATATTCATGGTTGGCGCCTCACATAGAGCAGGGCAAGAACTGGATGCCAGCAAGGGTGGAGGTGTGCCTTCGTAGGACTGGAAGGCTGGAGTGAGTGTGTAGGTAGAAGCAGGCTGCATGTATATAGTTAGTTGAGTCAAAAACATCATATGATACTCGACGTACCTGATAACCTGGACCATTGCCATGTTCGAACCGAAAGGACCAATCAGTTGTAAGAGTCTATAGTAAGTCGAGTATCAGCTGCCAGTAAACAATCGTTTGATAAGACTTACTTTGCAGATGCCTGGATGAGACACCCAAGCGCCAAAATTATCGCGGGCGAATGCATTTCTAGCATGGTCATAGCGTAATTTGGGGTAAGATGGGGTACTACCAGGAGGTATCATCATGGATTGTGGAGGGGGAATGTCAGACATTGTGTGCTGTAGTTTTAATGAAAATAATGCTTACCTTGTTGTCCTCCAATGTGTGCTTTTATATGTCTCAAAAACCTGAACTGTCAGATGCATAAATGATTCTAGACGTTTGTAGTTAGTAGAATGGCCCTGTGGTGGTCGCATGAATATGTTAGTACACACATGGAATAAAGTATTTAATGACAAAAAAACAGTCGCAGTAACTTGGGGAATGAATGGTTTTTGCGACTCTAGACTTATAGGGAGAGAATGGTGTCAGCACTGCTCACCTCATACCCTGGCCGGTCGCAGTGGTACGTGTTGGCGTCGTCTGCTGATAGTAATCTTAAAACTTCAGCTGAAAACTTCACCAGGGAGCTCAGGGATTGGACTGCATATATTGGAAAATGTTTGGACCAGGTAGCGACTATTGCCATGCTGAACATGTGTCAGGCAGGGACCTTCAAGTATGATTAGTCAGCAGATAGCTTGGGTGTAGTGGCCCAAAATGGTTTTAATCCGTCGTTTATAATCCAGAATAATCTGTAAGGGGGGGGGGCCCCCCCCCTTCTAGATTTAGAGTTTGTAAGGGGGTCAGAAAATAATGTTTTGCAAATTCGACGCAAATGGACAGCAGCATCGTGGCACAATTTCCTTAAATGGTCTTTTTTATTCTATCTTATTTTATTCCACAATATTTCAGCCTATGGATAGTCACCCACTGTGTCCATGAAAAGATCATCGGGAATAAGCGGGACGATGGGTACAAATTCATATTTTGAACCCCCTGAGCTGTACAACAGGTTTTTCTGTAGGTGCTCCAGCAGCTCCATGTGGATGGTGCTGCATGCCTAGCATGTGCCGAAATATAGCAGGAGGATGGGGATGATGGGGATGACATGGGGTTCATCCAGAAGCACCTTTTATTTACAGGTCTGTTGCATAGGAGGATCTGTCATATATTCAATTTGTATCTACACACAACTTGAATGTGGTGTGTCTGATGGATCAAGCTAGATATTAGTTACAGCCATTTGCAGAACACTAGGCCAAATTTTTTTCACTACATACTAGTGCTGCTGCGGTCTGGTTTGGTCTGGTTCTTGAGGGTGTTTTGTTGAACCTAGAACTGAACCTTGGGTCTGGTTCAGGCAAGGAGAGCAAACACTGGACTGGACCCTTATGAACGCATTTGCAAATGTTCAGTTTGAGTTCAGAATGTGTTTGAATGTCTGAATGCAACATATAAATTTCAAAAAAATTTCGAGAACTACATGAAAAATTCAATGAGTAACTACTGACTACACCATATCCATGACATAGCATTCACGAGCTGTGGCAAACTCAGCTTGAGCTGTTGCAGAAATATGGCCCTGATGATACCTGCTCTTCAATAGTTGAAGGGCCTCAAACATCAACAGCAACAAACAATTATGGCATGAAGTCCCAGTGATCCTGCCACTCGAAAAAGCTCATTCGGATGCAACGGCAGAGCCTTGAATAGCTAAGTAGTCCTTAGCAATGTGAGAGATAGTGGGATATTGAATTGAATGATGCTAAGGACATTTATGTCAACTTGTAAGGAATAGTGATTCAAAAAAGAACACTCACACCCAACCAAGCTACTACATTCTCGATGTCCTCTAGTGGGGAAGCCAGGTAGTCCTCAAGTTCTTGATGAGGCCTTTGGCTTGCAGTGTCACTTGCAACACAGGATTTGACAGCATCATGCATCCAACTGTGGCCATATGAGCCTTGGCATACAAGAGAGAAAGGAGCCACAACAGCAGGCTCTGCATCCGGCAAGGAATTATGATGATAGTATTTGTCAAAAACAATCTGTAGGCATCTCATGCCCTTGTCAAAGTCACAGGGCTCCCATTTACTCTTCACATATGCAATCTTGTAGTTGGGGTCAAGCACTAGATACAATACATTAAATAGGGCATTATATTAATCAAAACATGTACTGAGACAAATGAAATAGACATTGGTTTCATCGATCTTGTGGTACCACTTGCAAAGATTGTTGATGCCAGAGTCAATGGAAGTTGAAAAGTCAGCAAACTTTGAAGACCCAGCCATATTTTGCCAGGTTTGTTGGAGGAATTCGAGCACTGGGATTGCATGCCATACAGTGGGTTCACAAGTTGCAGAGAACGATTGCTGAGCATTTGCAGGCTCCTGGTAATGCAATAGGTTAATAAAAATTAAATTTGTCAATGAAGAAGCTTGCATGGCACATGCACCTGAAGCACATTATGCATCAACTCTAACTTCTTCCATTCCTCAGCTGAGAGCTTGAATGCACCATACGACTTGCCCTGCAGGTTCAGAACTTCATCACTATCATCTGCAAGCTGTATAAACCTATTCACACCCTGTCAATAGAGTTAGTATTGTTTGTAGCAGCAGTAGCGGCAACAACTGACCTTACACAACTTGAGGGTGCACTCCAACATGCCAAACAGCAAGGCCCATTGAGTGCGAATCCATTTTAAGAGCTCCAGGTTAGGCTCGTTGACCTCAGCACAGCACTTTTGGAAGAAGGTGTGGGCTTGGGGAGATTTCTGTACCTGAAATAAGGGTTCATCAAACAGAGCTAGTTGGGAACATGTTCACAAGTTTCAAGCATCAGCCGAATGCTGAACATAATAATGTGTCTGGTCCTTACAGTATGCCGAACTGGGACTGAACCTATGGTCCGGTTTGGAAAGGTTCAGGTCTGAACTGAAGTTCTGAACTGGACTCTGGCAGCACTACTACATACACAGTGGTATTTCAACTTCTATTCTCTGATCAGATATGTAGGGCATGCTAGTTATCATTGTGAACTGGGCTCATGGGTGCAATAGGAAAAACAGCAAGAAATTCATGTCCATTGAGAAGCTCACCCAAGCACCATTGACCTTTTTTCTTGTACTGTTCCAACACCACTAAAGGCTCAGTGTGGTCAACATAAAACTTGGTGAACACAGATGTGCAGCAAGTATAACACTCAGTGATGCAGTAAGTCACTGAGGTCTACTGAGTGCTAAGTGATAGGTAAAGTTGTAAGTGAACCAAATATATGTAAACTACAGTAATGTCCGACATTTGTCCATTATCCAACAAGATGATATAGCTCTGTTGTCACAGCTGTCTTGGAAGAGTGAACCCCTCAGTTGAGTGGCCTTTAGATAGCTAATGGGGGAAGATGCCAGAATGCCCTTTGCATGTTGACAAATGAAGTCCAATTCAACATCCTTGATATTAGCAGCTTCATAATTTTAATATTAACATCTGAATATAATGAGGGTGATAACTCACCAGCATATTTTGCCAAAGCATTGCAAGCAGCAGGGTGAGATGAGATGAGACCAACAATGTTAACATGGGTGAATAAGGTATGGCACTTCAGAGCTTGCAAGAGGTGGGTTGTGATGTAACACTGATGGACTGCTTCATTGATGACAAGCTGCATCACCCAGCCAACTTAACAAAATCAGAAGGTGAGCTTTGCAATAAATTGAGATAACTACCTTTATTTTCACCATAGTCCCAGACTGTGGCAAATGCATATCCATAAAGTTGAGGATGCTCACTCTCAAGTGGGTCAATTTGGATGTAGCAGGTTACCAAAACACTACTCTCCAGGTGAGACAAACATTGGGATCATAGTCTTGCACTGGTCATCTTGACCTGTTTCCCTGTGTAAATGATTCAGCAATGGCCAATGATCAACACCTCAACTACTGACCAGCTACAGTAAATTTGGAGATTGTAGCTGCCTGTCATATCCCACAATCTGGACCCACATTCCATAATATTCCCACTCCATCCAGCAAGACATCTGGACTTCACCTTGTCTCAGATTCTGGACTATATCCACCTCCTCATATCCCAGTCCTGTATCCACCTCATCTTCTGGATCCTCAGATCTCCAGACCTCCAGATATTAACTGTAACTATCTCTGGATGTATTCCTGCCTTCTGTCTGATATCCTGCACCTATCCCCATTTAGACATCTCCGCCTTTCTGGCTTTCGGTTACCTCTTGTTCCATCTTGCTTATTGATCCTTGTACAAGTCTTCATCTCCGAGTTCATTTAGTTATGTTCCATCTTACTTACTAATGTGTTTTCACATGCTCATACATAGCCCTGCTCCTTTGCTTACTGATCCCCTCAGATACTCTCCAGTATATAACCCCTATAGATACTCCTGTAGTTTCCTCAGTTTGAATATCATCTTAGATCCTGTTCTCTCATCTTAGATCCTGCTCTACTTGCCCAATCCTCTCTCAGACTTTGGTCCACCTAAGTCTGTCCTATCCATCAGGCCTAGGGATTGATTCCCTAGGCCAGAGCTTTGCCTTTCTGGCATTTACCCTCTTTCTGGACTTAGGTCCAATCCCTGTCCCTCTGACTCTACCTTAGGGTAGTCTACCTCTGTTTGTTTCTACATTGGACTTCATCTGATGTAGCCCCTTGTCATATCCACATATCTGGATCTCAGATCTGATCCTTATCTCATCTCAGATCCAATCCACATCTTATCCCCCTCCAACATCTCATCATCCAATCTGTCTACTTGTCCAGTCTGGTCCACAATTCATCCAAATCCACAACCAGTGCTCATCTCCTTTCAGTAATCCCCTAACTCCAGTATTTCGGCTATCTGTATATCTGTCCTGCTCCCTGATTCATTACCTATGCTTCATTTCCGTTTCATGATTTGTGATCCATTTCTACTTACCAATAGACTATCCATATGCTTTGTACATAGCCTCGGACTCTGCTGATAGATCATTCCGTTAGATACCTATAGTATATAACCTCCTGTAACTCTCTGTAGCACCTCAGTTTGAATATCAACTTAGTGCTACTCATTCCTATCCTCCGGTGTCCTGCATGATTTGGGAATCATGCATGGACATGACTACTAGGTAGCCCCCCTAAAAGACAAAGTCTGTGAGCTTAGGCATCAGGCTAGTCAACCCATACCTTGGTTTCAAACCTTGGTCATATAGTTCAGTTTCCCCTCTGTGATTCATGAATTTATTATATCTTAAAGAAAAGTCATTTGTGAGATGGGAATCACATAATGACCTAGTTGATATTGTGAAGCAAGAAGGTTAAGGTATTGCCTTGCCTTTGGCTTATTCACTTTGGCTAGAGAAAACCATAGAGAAAAGTTTAAAGCCTAACAAAAACCTACCTAAAAAGCCTGTGTTTTGTGTCTTGTTATTGTATTATTATTTCTGAGTTGTTTTCTCTAGTATTTCCTTGATTTATTTTTCTATTGGGATGCTCTGACCCATCAGATACTTCACAAAATTGTACCTACAGGGTATGATGTCATAATGATGTCATATGGCTCCACAGATACTCCTGCAAGTATTCTGTTGAAAGCTATGATGTCATGATGATGTCATTTGTTCTGGAATGTTCTGCTCCACTTCTGATGTCATTGCTCCGCTTTTTTACTTACATAATATTCCCACACAAAATGTATATAAGGAGGGCCCATTCTCCCCCCCAAAAAATAGGATCTCCCACTTGCAATCATTTGAATCTCAGTTTGAGCTACTCACTGTGAAGATTGTTGCTTACAAAGAAAGCCCCTTTGAAGCACCAAGTGCAGGGAAAAGACATTCCCTTGAGATTACATAAGTTTCTTATGATAGAAACTTAGTTTATTTGAGACCAGCTTCTCACCTAGTTTCTGATATTGACCAACACGAGCTTTGGTCAATCTGTTCATTTGTGAGACCAGCTTCTCACCTATTCATCTGATATTGACCAACATGAGCTTTGGTCAATCTGTTCATTTGTGAGACCTGCTTCTCACCTAGTTTCTGATATTGACCAACACAAGCTTTGGTCAATCTGTTCATTTGTGAGACCTGCTTCTCACCTAGTTTCTGATATTGACCAACACAAGCTTTGGTCAATCTGTTCATTTGTGAGACTAGCTTCTCACCTAGTTATCTGATATTGACCAACATGAGCTTTGGACAATCTGTTCATTTGTGAGACCAGTTTCTCACCACTTTGTGCCTATTTGACCAACCAGTCTTTGGTCAACGTATTTGTATTTGAGACTGTAGTCTCTACAGAGGATTATCTTAACAAGGAACCACGTTCCAGTGTCTAGACAGTTTATCCTAGACAAGTTTATAAGTTGGGATATAACACAAAAGCTCTGGCTAAGTTAATCACATAGATTGGTTTAGCAAGTCTCCCAAGAACTCACACGTTATCTACCACAAAAGAAGAAAAGTTGTAGACCGTGTTAATCAAGGACTGGCAAGAAGTCTTATCCTAGTGTAATTGTGGTGTCATTACATTTTACACGCATTTATATAAGACCCTCAGTTATTAAGACACCAGACCTGAGTACCACTACTCTTGTTACCCTCTGAGACTTAGGATTGATTCCTATAGTCTATCCACATCTGCCTCTGTCTACAACAGCCACTACCACTAGTTTCTAGTCTGGACTCGTCTGGTGTAGGGAATGAGAATCCTCTAGGCATATATTGTGCATATTTCAACTCATGATGATTGGTACAGCACATGACTCACTATCTATAACTTTCCCACAAAATGTGCCAGAGGCATGACGCTTTCCTGCACTATGTGATGCATTCCCACACACATGCTTAGCGCGCTCTTCCCATGCTCGGTTGCCCTTTGTTGTGCAGTGTCCTGGAGCATCCATCCATCATCCAACCAGTCCCCTAGTGAGTCCCTTTTTGTTTATTCTCACATCAGACCATATTTAGCATTGTATGATACATGATTTTGTCATGGACCCTTAGTTACATCATTTACATACTTAGAGCACTCCCTATTTGCTTCTGAGCCCTGGGAGTGTGTCTAGGCACAGCTTACTTGTTGCCTGGGAAGTTTTTCATACACCTACCACCATCATGTCAGTTAGTATCTTTTAGTGAGAATCATCATCCTCAGTTAGCATGCTTGAGTTGTTGCCCTAGCCATCAGCATCAGTCTACTATCATCAGTCTCCACTTAGCAGTCTTAGTTCACGCCTTCATGCCTTCTACCAGTCTATTATATGTCCACGCACAGCATGCACCTTATTCCCATGCTTCATGCTCCTACACACTCTGTATTCCTGCACATGCGCCTTCAGTGCACTTCACCAGAGTTGACCTGGTGTCACCCAGTGGATCTTGCTTTCCTTGCTTCCCTTAAGGGTCAAACATATCACCTGGTGCACTTTGACCAACATTTAAAAAATCAGTAGCTTGTCTCTCACTCCAAAGTGAAAACCCCTCTTTCTTTCTATAGCTCTGCAGCCTAGCAGAGTTGTTGAACCTTCACCAGATTAGCCTTACAATACTTATCCCACATCTGGAAGTCATCTGGATCTGCTA